ATTTATCCCATCCAATACGTACCTTTGTATGTATGTATGCTTACGTACGCACTCACAAAACCCTCACCTACATAGAAATATAAATAAATAATGAGACAGCAAGACATAAAAGAAGAGATACTTGTTAGATCTTTTCGACTGTCAAAGAACCCTGTTGCTGATCTCGTTCTTTAGCTTCTGTTAGGGGTCTCTGCAGTAGGAAGAAGGCACAATGATAGACAAGTTGTTTCATACTTCGATGATTATTTGTATAAGTTGTGTCAATAAATCTTGGTGGAGAAAGAAGAACGAAACCAGTACGCTGGGCTACGGCGAGAACTTCTCCAAGTGAAAGTTCAATTGACACATCTTCAGAGGAATCAGCAAAATGATACAACAGAGGACCAACATTTACCCAATACCCTCCTGGTACAAGCAAATTGTAAATAATTTCTATATATTCCACAATATTATGGGCTGTATCAATAAAGAAACATGTGGCTACAGCATTCCAGCTCCTACGTTGATGCTGCTTTGCATAAACTTCTGTAAAATCCCCTGCCACCATAGAGAGTTCACCAAAAGCTGGTTGTTGCCCTTCGCGGAGGTTATCCACAGCTTCAGAAGCGCAGAGATCAGGAATATGCACATCCACAAACTGATCCTCACGATTTACCAAATTGCTGGTGTTATCAACGTAGGGACAAATTTTATGCTGACAAGAAGAAACAACATGATTCTGTATGTAATGACCGGCGATAAGCATGTGATAGCTGAATTCATTTGCCTGTGCGGCGAATCCACGCAGGGCCAATTCCACAGTAAGACGACAGAGTCCAGCACCAGGAACGAGAATTTTTACACTTCCACGAGTTGCCGGATCGGGATAACAATCCTCCAATGTGGCCAGTATAGGAAGATAAACAGAATTGCGTTCTGGTGCCCCTTCCGCTGACCAATCCCGCACAAATTGTCGAAGTGTGGAAAACACCTTATCAATATCCAGTGCAGTTGGTGGAGGAACATCATCCATCTGTACAGTTGTACCATTGGGCCAATAAATGTCAAATAGTTCAGATGATGCTCTACATATAGATTCAAAGAAAGAACTGTTTGTCTCAATGCAATCTAAATATCTAGAAAACAAAGAATCCAAATCAATACAATAAGACAAGTGATGTTGTTGATGAAACTTCATAAAATTTTTTAAACGAGCATCACGTGTGGAGACTGCATGTTTTCTGTAAGCTCGAAATGCATTAACAGTTCGGAGAAAACTGACATGATCATCATACATATCATCACTTTCTTCAGATCTTCGTCTCCGTAATGCTGCTGCTGCTGCTGCTTGATCCTCTTCTTCTTCTTTTCCCCGTTCTTCTGGGACGTGGGTAGCAGATGAAGGATTGTAATTATAATCATGTGAGATATCTGCGCCAAGTGGATAAGGTGGTGGTGGTGGTGGTGGTGAAACCGAATGCTGATCGTCTGCGGATATCATTCCTACTAACGTATGGGAGGGATTCTGCTAAAGCTGAAGAGTAAAGCAAGAAAGAAAATAAAAATGTATTCACTTTACGCAACAAACCAGGTCGTTCTTTTTTTTTTTTTTTTCAGTCCCCTACCCCTTCCAATTCTTCAGTAAAAAAAAAAAGAACTTACTTCTAAAAGAAAAGAGAGAGAGAGAGAGAGACGAGAAAGAAATGAAGTGAAATGAAAAAAATATATACAAATAATAAATTTCAAGAAAGAGAAAATAACCAACTACTATCAACACACATATAAAGGGAGAGTGTGAAAGAAAAAGAAAAAGAAAGAAGGGCAACAACAACAACAACAACAAGAAAAAATGACGAAATGGTAATAACCTATCCTCTGGGTATATTTGAACGGTTAAATATTCCTTTACGTCATAACACCCCATTCTCGAAGGTTAACATAATCCTCAATATCGCGTTTTAACTGATAAATAGCCTTGTAAAGAAGGTCTAGGGAGACGACTAGTCTAGCTTGTGGCTCTTCCTGTAAATCAAACCATCGTTTAAGTTCATCAGAGAGTTCTTTAGAGAAACGACTCATATTCGACTGAATCCATCCATTCGCAGCCTCACTAACATCCTCAAAAGACTTTAGGTGATCATACACAATCTGGTATTCTTTCCGAAGAATAGTGTAATTAGTCTGCGCAACAGTTAGCTGCGATAAATTTGTAATTGGCATGGATCTTAAGACCTGTTTTGTACCTGAAAGTTTCGCAGTTGTTTCAGTTTCCTTCAACTGTGTTAACACCTTCGTCACAGTTGATGGCATAGTCAAATTAATTTTTGAAAGATCACCATCATTCCATCTAATCCCACTCTGTTCCATAGAAGTAAGAAGTGTCATTGGTTTTGTCAATGAACCCGTCGTTGTTCCAGTTATATTTTTTATACCATCAGTACCACTATTATTGCTACTACCAATAGTAGCAGTAGCAGTTGTATGAATTCCACTTTCTGTTTTTTGCCTCACCGCTAATTCTTCACCCTTTCCTCCACCCAAGTTATCATCATCGTGTTCGCCATCATCATCATCATCATCACTTTGCTCCTCCTCCCGTTTTCGTTTAGAACTCCCAAGCCCTGCCATAATACCCTTCGAACAGACAGCTAACATCACATCTCGGTCTGCGTAGAGGGCGAAGCGGTCCAAGAGACTCTTGTCTCCTGCAACCTTTGGAAGAGCCAGATTTGCAACCTTCTGTTTAACTGCCTTAGAGCTATAACTCTCAATATCAACTAGTTTATACCCATCTGCCCCGAGTTCTCGCTGGCCACGTGAATTTAACACTGTGAGAACTCCAAGCACGGCATTCAACGCCTCACTATTATCTGAGGCAAACCTCTTCAGTACCTCTCTATGATCCCGTGGACCTGGTGCTAAGAAAAAGGCTATTTTAACCGCCAAGTTTCGATACTTCTGAATAACATCAGAGGCATTCATCTGTGGTGTTACTGGTAGTGGATCTGTGCCTTCTTTTGGTTCTTGATGTAATGTATTCGGTTCTCCACTCACAGGCTGTACTTTCGGTTGTACTTGCTGAGGATCCTGCACTTCTTTTGTTACGGTAGCAATTAGAGAAATCTCTGCCGATCCACTAGCCCCACTTTGCTGGTGTCGGTACGTGCGAATTCCTCCCATCTCAAGCTTGCAGTGCCACTTTACACCTCCATTTGTATCATGAAATACAACAACACTATCGCTGGTTTCTGTAAGCATTACGGTACCACTACGGATTGCATTGATGAGATCTTCAGGAAGTGTTCCTGCTGCGATTGGGTTTATCCTCATCTAGATGGTTCTAATGCCTTTTCTTCTTTTTTTTTTTGTTTGTTTTACATTTTATTCCAGATGCGTCAACAGTATACATATTGTAAGAGGGAAGAGAAAAAGAAAAAAAAAGTAATGATAGCAAATGAATAGTCTCAGGTAGTCAGAGGCTCTTCTTTAAAAAAAAAAGACCTTTTCATTAGCTGAACTCAATATATCATTGAGTATGTATATTTACACATTACATTCAGTATAAATAATAGAAATAGTGCAGTCATTATGCGTTATCTAACATATTAACCTTCGTGACCTTCCCTGTCCAATTCATTCAAAAGTTGTTGTCTGCTGTCGTCCTCATCCAAGATACTGCTTCTCCAGCGCGAGATAGTATTAGGAGCTACCTCATGCAGCGCCACCCTCACCGCCGCGATGTGTTTATTAGCAAACACACAGAGACATCGAGCAGCAGCAGTTTGAACATCATCATCATTACTTGTGGTCTGTCGACACACTAGAGGAATAAGTTCATTTGTATCAATTTCCACCACCTCTGCAAGGTAAGCCACAAGAAACAACAGACGTCTAGTAATCTTGGTATTCTTTTGGGACGCACCCTCACCATAAATTTCCAACAGTCTATTGATATCCGTTATACCCCCCGCACGATTGAAAAGAATAGCATTTGGAGCATAATCACGACAAAGACAACTGCAACTGTGTAATAGAGCAGCCACCACAGCAGGAGATTCTTCCTTTTTCAATAAAGGTAAGAGAACATCTTGCCATTGAGCTTCCTCAAAACACTTCTGCACAGCTTCGTTTAACTGAGCGGCGTGTGCAATTACCATCGCTGCTGCCTGACGGACTTGCTCACTCTCTGTAGCCAATTTATTCTTAACCAAGAAGTCCAATATGATGCGATGCCCAGACATGAGAGAAAATTCAATGGCCCAACTAATATCTTCTACCAAATCACTCATTTCCTCCAATGCCGTGAGACACTCTGACTCACTGACATCTTCACGAGTCAAAAGGGCCAAGCTTTGTTGAATCTTACGTTCTGGTGCTTCAACAGACTCCAATGCCTCTTTAAGCCACTGCATCTCTTCGGCACTTCGTTTAGGCACCTCAGTTTTCTCTTTTGGACCATTACCAACTGATGTGCAGAAGTTCAGCAATGCTGTGTTCATCGATGGATCATTAGACATTGTATCCCACCTTTTTCTTTCTTTTTTTTTTTTCTTTCTTTCTTTCTTTCCTTCCTAATATTTAATTCTTGGTTTGTGTTTGTGTGGGTTGATATAAACCACCCAGCTTTCTCCAAGTAAAAACAAAAACAACAATAACAATGAAAAAAGAACAAGATAGGATAGATCGATAAATAAAGTGTTTTTTTTTTTTTTTTTTTTTTTTTTGCTATAATTGGGTATCACCAAACGCATTACCACCATAATAACAAAATTTAAAGAAAAAGAAGAAACTCACTACCACTTGGTTGATACAAATATAGAACTCCCACATATACAGTGTAAATAGTCACGCTAAAAAAAATAAAATAAAAATAAATAATAACTTTAGTTAAGGTCATGCAAGACATTAAACAGAAGGATGGTGTTTCCTTTTATCCACCCTGAGAATCACCATGGTTGTCAGGATTTCTTTTCGAGTCTTTCTTTGTACGATATGTCAACAATCTTCTCTGAGTTTCATCAGCGTTTTCGCGTTGTTTGTCTTCATTTTCCCTTTCTAAAGATTTTTCCCCATTCTCCTCGACGTTATCAAGTATAAGAAATGTAGATGATTGTACTTGTTGTATTAGCTGTGAAACGGAAGAACGAAGTGTGGCATTTTCACGTTTTATAGCAGCCATTAAAATCCCCCGTCTCTCATAATCCTCTTGAAGAGACATAAGCCTTTCTCGCAGAAGCTCCCGTTCCATTTCTTCGGTGCGTAGCTTGCGAGCTAATGATAAAAAACTCGAAGGATCATCTTCATCCATTATGATTGATGTTGGCTTATCGGCACCTAAAATCTCCTCATTATTATTATTATTATTATTATTATTATTATTATTATTATTATTAACTGTTGTCCCATCTACAGAACGGAGACGCTCACAGAGAATTCTGCATCGGTTCTGATAAAGAAGAAGATTTTCTTCTTGCTGCTCTAGTTTTCCTTGCAGCTCAATGACAATTTCTTCCTTGCGATCCAGTTCCTCCCTAAGCATACGACTGTGTCGTTGGTATGCTAATAAACGAGCACGAAGTGAAATACCTTCACCAGTAACAGGTTCAACCCACTCCGCGGCCAGCATATCTGCACGGTCCTTCAGCGCCAATAGTTTCTCACGCAGAAATTTGTTCTCTCGTGGAAGTGCACGAAGAGAATCAAGTTCCGCTTGTTTTATGGCGAGTTCCTGTTGCAACATCTCGATACGGGCTTCTGTGGAGGTCTCCTCGTTGCTGTTTGTGGCATTTTGCCCAAGCAAGACCAAGGATTCCATTATACAGGAAGAAATGTACACACCTCTTCTTGACACAACAACTGGAACGAGTAAAAATAAAGAAAAGAAAAAAACAAAGAGAGAGAGAGAAAAAAAAGAAAAGCAACAACGTAATAATAAAGAAAACCCTGCATCATTAGAGATGAACACACAAACAGTTTCTCTCCATTTTTTGTTGTGACTGGCTCCTTCTTCTTCTTCTTCCTTTCTTTCCCAGTTACCCTGCGACCTCCGCCTCTTCTCCTCGCATCTCCCTTGCCCGACGTCGTTCCTGTAGGAGTTTTTGATGTTCCTCCTCTCGCGCCCGCTCCCGCGCCGCCTCGCGGTCCCTTTCGGCCGCCGCCTCCTCCCGCCGCGCCGCTGCCGCAGCCGCCCGCCGTTCGTCCCGCTTGGCCGCGAGTGCCCGGAGGACTTCCGGCGGGACTCCCGGCGGGGCGCAGACCGTCAGGCCGCCGACGGCCGGGGCGATGGCCGTCTCGGAGGCGGCGGGGGACGACGTGGCGGCGAGGCGGCGGGGCTGCGGCTCGCCAGCGAGTTGGTACGCGAGGGAGTCGCCCACCTGCATGGGGACTCTGTTGCCCATCCGCTGGCGGTACGTCCTGCGCAGCAGGGCCGCCAGCTCCGTCTTCATGGGGGTCATGAGCACAACGTCCTCCACAGCCTCATAGGGCTCCCCTTGCAGACAATTACGGCAGACACGAACAGGCTTGGTGTGGCCGAGCAGTGTTGGAAGTGGTCGGGTATAGGGCAAACAGTTTTTAACACAGCAGACACGACCACATCCAGGGCAGTTTTCCTTCTTCGCAGCAGGTGAAAGTTTGCCACCACAACACTCACACTCTCTGGCACGCTTAATAGATGTATACACAACTTGTCGATAAGGTAAAGAAGGTTGATAAAAATGTAGCAATAAAATTGTATCAGCATGTGTCGTGACAGATATCTTTGACAGAAGACGTAGATCAAGCCGTTTCTGTAGAATATACCTTATTACAGTAGAAGTTGAAGGAGGTGCGGGCCGAGGATTTTTTCTTGTAGGTTTTTCAACCGGTTGTGTAACAGTTTCCATTTTTTCTTGAATAATGTATATGGCTAAATCAGTCAGAATAAAAAAAACTTTCTCAAGTAAGGCCTTATTATGGTCAATAACACGCTCAATAAAGGCAGTAAAAATGATTTTCTGTGGAAACATTTCTCGTGGACGTTCCCATCGACTCTGTTGAAGTATTAAATTATAGTAATACCGTTTCCCTGTCTCTGTCCAGTACTCTTTCCAAGCACTTCCAATAGGATTAAACTCCACACATGAGTGAAGTGGGACAAGTTTAGTACGGTAATCAAGGTAGTCACCGGAAAAAGGACGAAATACACTATCAGCTCGCCGTGCTTTACCTGCCTTATCATACAAACGTCCCATACTTGCTTTAAGAATAATACCTTCTTTATTTTGCTGATAACGACGCCATGCCCGTTGAATCTTGTAAACAACATTATTCAAAGCATTTTCACGCAAGTCTTCTAAAGCAAATAGATGTTGGGGGTGTCGAATAAACACTTTGTGTTGACCTAATTGCCATGAACCTTGTGGCAAGGTATCAGTTACATATTGTAAAATAGCAGCACAAGCATCGATATCAGATCCTCTAAAAGGACGTGGAAAAGTCATTGGACTAATATACTTAAAACGTTTTAAGAATTTATCAAAATATTGACGATAACTATAACCTGCCCGCCTAACACGAATATTTTCAAGTAACCCCAAGTATTTTACTTGATGCAAAACCCGTGCATCATCAAAATAATCACGGCGTTTATCATCATTTGATTTAATGGCACGTACATAATGTGGATTACAGTTCATTAATTTTTTTACAAGATTGGTAGCTTGCTGACGTATCTTAAACCCTGCTGTTGAGCTTCGTTTTTTCTTACCACCACCACCACCACTACTACTATTACCACTTTCTACCACATCATTTAGAATATCAGCAAGTATTTTTAACAAAAAACTATTTGAACTAGATCTTAACAACGCTACTACATCAAGACTAAGAAAATCTTTGTTACGATTTATGAACCCTTCCGCATTGTAATGAACATCACCTGCGTAATGTTTAATGAAAAACCCCCGTTCTGTTTTCTTGAAATGTGGATTACCAGAATGTGTGGCGTCCAGTTTATCAAGCATTTTGATATCAGCTACTAGTTCTTTTTCTTTTGACATAGTAGCGCAAACATCATCAATAATAGCAAAAAGTCCTGGTGGACTTGTACTTTCGATAAGATTACAAACAACTTTATTATCAAAATATTTGATTTCTTCCCATGGTATCTTTTCTCTCACATATTCTTCTTGCTCAACTTTTAAAGTAAGCTCAATAAAGATCTGTTGAAGCTTCTCATTCACATAGTTGATACAAAACTGCTCAAAACCATTCTTTTCCAATACTTCAAACCCATAAATATCAAGAACACCCAGCATTAAATCATATTGTTTTTCCCCTAATGCCTTATTTACAGACTCCACGATAAAATCAAACAAGTGATGGTACAAAGCCTTTGCGATAGCATCCCGAGCATTTTGACATTGCTGCATGTCTAATGGAACATCTACCACTTCACTTGAACCCATCTCAAGACGTTTCCACGTGAGAACTCGCTCCAGACTATTTGTATCTACTCCTAAGAGAAAAGAACAAAAATCCAGTTCATCACGGTTTGAAACTACAAAAGCTCCACCTTCATTTTCTTTGCTTAAGGAGACAAATTGAAGCTCCCCTAGATGTAAAATAAGAGCTAATATACTTAAAATAGATTTCTGCTCTAAATCTCCAATTGACATAGTTTTCATCGCTTTTAGTGTTTCATTCCACTCCTTTGCGTAGTCCATGCAAGTTTGGTCTTCTGAGGGACCGCCCTGATTTAAGTAAAAAAACTCATCTGGATCTCGAAGTTTTAATTCTTTTCGAAGTGTTTGATCGGCACCATGACATAATTGATAAAATACATGAAAGTTACGTTCGCCCTTCTGTTGACTAACCACACGAGATTTCTCCAAAAGAAAATTGGACATATGTCCACCAATAGGTCCACCCATTCGGTCAAAAAATATTTCAAAAAACTTACCAAAACGAGAACTATTGTCATTACGTACAGTCTTCGCATTTCCAAAGGCTTCTAACAACGGATTTGACTCCAGAATAATGTGTTTAACATGTTGCATCTCCGGTGTATTTCCAGAAACTGCTGAAATGTACTGCATAATCTGTTTAGATGCCTCTGTCTTTCCTGCCCCTGATTCACCCGAAATAATAACACACTGATTTTCCTCTTCAGATACCATGGTTCGATAAGTTTCCTCTGCTAATCCAAATATATGCGGACCACCGTGGTTGCTACTCACAGTACCACTGGCACTTTTACCACCACTACGAAAAAAATCAATCCGCTCTTCACCATAAAGATTAGCAATTTTCTTAAATGGATTAACGCTCAATAAAACAGGGCCAATACAGGTATATATCATGTCCTTACTATGACGAAGTTTCAGATTCTCAACGATGGCCTTGTCTGAAAGTTGAGTTAGTAGAACAAGGTCCTCTACACCAACCACAGCCGGTTTTCTAAAATCGATATGCGCCATTGAATCAAACCTACTTCTGCAAACAATGGATAACCAACCAAGAGAAAAAAAACAAAAACAGAAATAGAAAAATACAAATAAAACTAATAATTTCCCAACACAAACATCAAAACGAAACAACACATCATGTATAGAGGCCTGTAACAATAAAAATTAACAGATCTTCAAGTCAAAAAAAAAAATTAACGATAGACAACATAGTTATTAAAGAAAAAAAGAAACGAGCGGCCAAATAAACGTCAAAACTACTCACAAAGCACATATTATAAGCATACACGCTAGAGTGGTAAACATGTACTAGATAGCAGTACCATGAAAATCCTACAAAAAACAAACAAACAAAGAATATATAGTAACCTCTAAGGAAATTTACCCTTTGATCAGGTAATCATCCAAAAAGTTAAGGGAAAAAGGAGAAAAACACAGTCACGAGCAATTTTTCCTTTATTGTACTTTCCTATAATAGATGTTCTCGATCCCCCACCTAACCCCCAAAACAAATTGTCTTACTTCTCTTCTACAGTTTCTACATCGTCACTTTAACACACACCTCTTTCCCATTCTTTCTTCAGTTTGTCATGAGAGAAGAGACTGAGGTTCATCGTGTGCGAGACCGACAGAGTTTGATGTGTTGTCGCCAACACATGCCCCTTTTGCATTTCCTTGAAAAATACGACCACCACCGGGATGCCTTCATATACACAACATTGTTCATAATCCCGAAAAGGGTGAGGTGGTGTCACAGTACAAGAGGGGAAGGACAGAAGAAAATCCTCCAAGCCCCAGTAAAATTGGGATAGTTATTTTCACACGTACAACACATCAACAAATCCTTATTATTACCACATCGAGACTATTTTGCATACCACAGAGGCCCGCGAAGATGCTTCCCAACGTGAGTGGAGACAACAGGTGCGCTCTGCCGGAATACCTCTACTTTGAGGCATTTGCGTAAAGCTCCCATCGCACCTTATACTCACCATTAAGAGCAATGAGTTCCTCGTGGCTCCCGGACTCGAGAATGCGACCACTGTCGAGAAGTGTGATTTGATCACAATGGCGAATAGTTGTCAGACGGTGGGCAATGCTGATAATAGTAACATGGTGTTCCTTCTGGTATTCGTTGATACCCTGCTGCACCCGCGCCTCTGTCACGTTGTCAAGTGCACTGGTGGCTTCATCCAACAGGATTAACTGAGCGTTGCGAAGAAAACCACGTGCAATCGCCACGCGTTGCTTCTGCCCTCCACTGAGGGCACGACCCTTGTAGCCCACATCAGTCTTGTACCCCTCCGGCCATCCCATGATTTCATCGTGTATGGACGCCAAGCGGGCGGCCCTCTCCACCTCCTCATCCGTAGCATCCGGAGAGCAATAACGGATGTTGTCCTGTACGGTTCCACTGAAGAGGTCTGGCTCCTGCAACACAATGCTGATATTCTTCCGCCACGTCGTGATGTCTAGGGTGCGGATATCCTTGCCGTTTACAGTGATAGCGCCGCTTCGGCTGTCGTAGAAACGTGCCAACATCTGAATGATAGTAGACTTCCCGCAGCCCGTCTGCCCCATGAGGCCGTTAGAGGTGCCGTCCCGGAAGTTGAGGTCTACGGAGGCGAGCACAAGCTGCTTCGGACGAGCGGGGTAAATGAACTTAACCTTGCGGAAAACAATATCACATCCATTCCCCATATCCTTGTCCCCCTCGACTCGTACGTCGATGTCCGGAACGCGGTCAATCACGCTGAACACACGCTTCGCTGACTCCTGAGCATGTGCCATCTTCGATGCGAAGCCGCCGGCCTCACCCGCACCCATAGCACCCATCAGAACTGCCATTGCAGCAATCACAACCTTCTCGAACGTTGCCTCACCTGCTTCTATAAGTTTGCCACCGTACCAAAAGCATAATGCGAAAGCACCGTAGAAGACGAACTGACTGATGCCTACAGCCAGGCCAATCAAAGCGGATAACTTAGTCTCCTTTGGTACCGTGTGATTCACGATGTCAAGGTACAGAGCGATGCGGCCATCCTTCAGGTTGAAGGAGGTGACGGTGCGCACATTAGAGAGAGCCTCAGTGACGAGGGCGTCGGATTTGTCTCCCTTCTTTTGCGTATACCCCATGGCTATTAATTGCTGAACCGCATTACCTACAGCCACAACAGGAAGGCACGCCAAGGCCACAAACGCCAATTTCCACTGGTAGATGAATCCGATTACAAGACCCACTGCAATTGTAAAGAACGTCTGCACTTTGAGTCCAATTGATGGGCCGAGAAGCTGGTGAACGGCCTCGCAGTCACCAGAGAGCATCCCTGAAAGCGTTCCAGCATCACGGCCAGGGATATCGAAGAAACTCATGTCCTGCCGCAGTATCTGACGGAACAGCATAACGCGTAGCTGTGTCGTCAGACGTTCGCCTGCAAACCCATAGAACGACTGCAACGCCCAGCCGATAAAAGTTCCAGCAGCCATTACAAGGAATAAAGGGGCGTAGAGGTTTGTGCCACTTCGCAAGGCGCCTACATCATGGTCGACGCCATACTCTCCAAGAACCCCGAGGATCTTCCCAAAAAGAATACCGTTGGCAGGGGCCGACGCTCCTGTCAAGGCGGAGCCCACAATACCCAGGGCGACGTAGAACAAATGCTCCTTTGCAAGTCTCATGAGACGACTCAAGGGTACCTTTGTGCGCTTCACCTCCCACTCTGCCAGTTCCTCATAGGGCACCTTCTGACGTTCAGTCCGCGGTACCTCCTCATCCAGCTTTGCCAGTTCCTCATCATCAAGGTATGTGGAGACGCCGCCGTCGAGGACTTCCTCGGCTGGCTTTTTTTTTGTCGTCGAGGAAACGACCGACGCCACGCCCTGAGTCATGGCCATCACGGCGAACTTGCCGTTCAACTTCATTAGCTCATCGAATGATCCAGACTCCGCAATCTCACTACCCTTTACACCATCGTAGGTGAAGTAGTAGATACGGTCTACGTTCCGGATTGTAGCCAGGCGGTGCGCAACGATGACTACTGTCATGTCTCCATGATCCATAAGACTATCAAGAGCTGCCTGGACCTCCACTTCCGACTTCCTATCAAGGGCACTAGTGGCCTCATCAAGAAGCAAAATGGCGGGACGCCTCACAATTGCCCGCGCAATCGCAAGGCGCTGCTTCTGGCCACCACTTAACTGCGATCCGACAGCCCCAACAGGCGTGTCGTACTTGTCTGGAAGACCCATGATGGTATCGTGGATGTTCGCCTTCTTGCACGCCTCAATCACCTCCTCCTCCGTCGCGTCTTCCTTTCCAATACGGACGTTTTCCATCATCGTGCCAGCGAAGAGGTTCGGTTCCTGTGACACAATACCAATCTGGTCACGCCACTGCTTTAGCGACAGTTTACGCATGTCAACACCGTCCACAAGCACTTCACCATCGACGGGGTCGTAGAACCGCTGAAGGAGTGAAATGATGGACGACTTCCCGCACCCCGAAGCCCCAGAGAACGCCACCTTCTGCCCCTGCTTGATCTCGAAAGAAAGGTCTGTGAAGAGCGTCATGCTTCGGCGCGTTGGATACGTGAACTTGACGTGTCGGAACTCGATGGATTTCTGAAGCCCCTGCACAGGCTCTCCATCGGCGTCCACGTCGATTTCCGGCGTGCGGTTAATAGTTTCAAAGAGGTGATGTGCTGCTGCGCGCGACTCCGAGAATGCGGAAAGTGAGGGCGACACAAACCCGATACCAAAGCTGCCGAGCAGAACCGATAGGAAACATGACACAATATCACCCACATTGCGCCGGCCCCACTCCACAAGGTAGGATGCGAAGAAAAAGGCGATCGTGTAAGTGATGAACATGGTAGCCATGGTGGCACCGGCAGCAAGCGAGGTGGTCAGTTCTTTCTTGATGCCAGCTTTCTGCGCGCTCAGTACGGCGGCGTGAAAACGCTCAACCTCATACTCCTCCCTACCGAACGTCTGCACCGTCCGCACATTCTCCATGACCTCAGTGGCAAGCGACCCAGCCGCTGCGAAGTGCTCACGAGATGCGTTCGACATCTTCGCCATGATGTTTCCCATGATACTTCCCATAAGTGCGATTAGCGGCATCAATCCAAGCATAACCAGTGTAAGTTCCCAAGAAAACACGAAGCCAAACACAAAACCCAGTATGCCCATTGACATGTTCACGATACCCAGGCCCAGCTTGTCGTTGATGCCGTTCTGTAAGACAAGTGTATCTCCTGTCATTCGGGCCGTTAGAAAGCCAGGGCTGTGCGCATCATGCCATCCGATATCCTGTCGAAGGACAGATGCAAAGTATTTTGTGCGAATAGTGGCGACCTGACGCGTTGCGGCAATCATCCAGCAAGCCACATAGAGTGCTGTACCTACAAGAACACCCAATCCAACATACAGCATGATCAGTGCACTTTTTGCCGTCGATTCCTCCGGGTTACTCTGCGAAAGAAGGTCGTTCATCATCCGTCCAAAAATAAAAGAAAAAGCAGGCGCCGCTCCACCAACCGCAATTGCCATCACAATTCCCACAATCATCAGCACCACATCCCTCCGCGTCGCGTACTGGAACACCCCAAGGACGGACACCATATTTGTACCAGGTCCGCCATGCGCACCTCCCTCAACAGGAGCAGTTGAACTTTCTGCATGTAACGCAGGAGGAAGGGAATTTTGCCCCAACTCCCCTGCCTTTTCCTTGGAATCATTGGGGAAACATAATGGATTTTGGTTCTTCGTGTTACCAGTGTCCGTCTCAGATATATCAGAACTCATTTACACTGTTTGCAATGGCAATTACAATCCTGATACTAAGAAAGAAGCGTGTGTTTGTTCCAGGAAGTGTTAGCTTTATCTTGAGTAGTACATAAGGAGAATAAAAGAAGGAAATAATGAAACAGATGGTAACGAAGAAAGACAGAACGAGAAAACCAGACAACTGCCAAAAATGGAAAGGTTACTCAGTATCAGTAATAATTTAAATGCAGTACCGCTCTCAATTTTTTTTTTTTTTTTTAGCCTAAACCCGTATCCTCTACAAATGAAATTAAAGGAAAATATGCCTAATTCGTACAAAAGAAAAATGAAGAAATATTTGTCAAGCCCCAATCATTAAAATTTTTTTTCTAAATATTGGTGATACAAGAAATCTCGTTTGGCACACATGATGATTTTCTTGAAACACGTCCGTGAAAATAAAAATAAAAATAATTTTTTTTTCTTTTTTACCTTAACGGTCTGCGATTTATTGGAGCAAGGGTCTACATAACAGAAGGTTTTTCTCTTCTTTACTCCAGAATATATATAGATATATATATATGTAGGTAAATATGACAGTATTTACAATATATTAAGGAGAACGAGGGGTACAAAAATAATTTTTTTTTTTACAATATATTAAGAACAACGAGGGAAACAAAAATAAGGCACCAACCAGTTACAACAAGGGCAAATCCGGCGCCATACTTATAGTCGTGTTTGAATGGTGTATAGACACATCCACCCACCTTGGCGTTGTACATGTTTGCCATCAGTCCCCAGACAATGCAGACAGTTGCAATTGCAAGAACCATCAGAATACAAGCAATCCACCTTAGGCACCCACAGCAACAACATGTCACCAGTCCAACGAGGGCTGCAATCAGTAGCACGCCAATGGAGATGATGGCAAACCCCTCCGCTGCCTTGAAGCGATCAACGAGCGTGCTGCAGCCCGGGAAGAGTTCGGCTGGGCGGAGATCGTACTTGGTACTGTAACACTTCTGTTTTTGTCCCCAGAGGGTCAGACATGGTGTGTTACCAACAAGGTCTTCCGTCCTTGAACGGAACTGGTCAATTGGCGTTCCGACCAGCACGAACAGAAAGGCAATAAGCCCAATAATACCGTAGAGAATAGCACCAATCTTAGACATTGCTTTCTATAAAGTAAATAATAAAAAAAAAAAGTTGAAAAGAAGAAAATATCATCACTTCAGTTGAAGGGATAAATTACCCCTTGCACTAGCAGAGGGTGTGATAATGGAGAAATACCGGCAAAATACCTAATCAGAATATCGTTTCAGTCTCTTTCTTCTCAGAACCGTCATTCCCGGAGGGGATGGGATGGGAGGGGAGGGGGGAGGTGGTTTTTTTTTTTTTTTTTTTTTTTGATACATTGACAAGACTGCTTGCCACGTATCCATATTTTTTTTTTCTTTTTTTTTTCTTTCTTTTTACTATTGCCAACATCGAGCTGCTGTATGAAACACTTTTTGGTGGAACATCCAGACATCTGTTATAGGGTTGTACATCACAATGTCACGCAATGCTTCATTGCGAAGGCTAGAGTAATCACATCCCTCACGCTGCCCTGTTTCGAATGGAAACTGCGCAAGGTTTATGACAGCCTCTCTAAGTGAAGGATCTTTTGCCCATGCTGCTTGTAATTGTCTCATGGCTTTGACAAGCTTTTGGTTGGTATATGCAGTGGCAGATGTACGACCGTGCTGAACTGCAGCGAATAATTCATCAAGGTCATTGCTATTTGTACCCACAATTTCGATGAAATTAGTTAGTTCTAGTGGATCAATGGTATGTTGAGTATATCTGAATGCTTCTGATACTGAAAAGTTTGGTATCAGGTGAAAATCTAGGCGTGGTAACGCTGTCATAGCTATTGTGAGAGATTCAATCGGTACTTCAATGACAACATGACAAAGTCTACGATCGCAGGCAAGTGCTACAACTTCATTATAAACGCGCATAAGTGAACTACCCTCACGTAATTTTAAGACTAAAAGAGGTGTTACACCATGCATAGCTTTTTTTGCACGTTCTGAGGCATCTCCAATGAAGTCTAACAAGTCACCACAAGCATCAATATTTTGCACACCTAAAGATTTTACAATAGAACGAAGGGGATCCTCATTAGCACGAATGTCTACAAACACAGCCGCCATTTTTTCTTTTCGAATGGCTGAACGTATTAGAATACTCTTACCAGAACCAAAGAAACCAGCAAAGACAATTACACGTGGATGAGATAGGTCCTGTTCTCTTAATGTTTGACGTACACGTTGTTCTTCAGTTTCTCGTGGCACATATCCCTTAATATGATGTCGTCCACCTTGAAGTGAGAGTGTATTTGCTGCAAGTGCTAATTGATAGGAGCGTTGTTGCTTTTTGTAATTCTTAAAGTTCCAACCAAAGACAGACATAACACCTAATACTGCAACACAGGCACTAAAAACACCACTATATTTAATGAGAACATACCTAATTTCTTTCTCCTTTGTGCGTTCTTTTATTTGTTCACGTTTTTGTCTATGTTGATCACGTTCCCATTCAGATTTTTCAAGAACACTCATACGCACAGATTTGTTGAGATGTGAGAGACAGTGAACATCTGCACTCTCCAGTAGATATAACTTGTCTGCTCGCCATCCACGATGAAAGAGAATACATGAAGTACTCTCTTGGTCAGATCGTCGATCTACTCCAGCAGATTTTACCCATTCTAATACTTCCTGAAATTTTTCATTTGAAATAAATTTTGAGCGACCCTCAGAAAGAGTAATCATCTCACGTGGAACAGCAAGATCAAAACGGTCATTGTCTAATAAAACAGCAAAAGTTCCATTCCCATTTACTTTTGCTACTAATCCTCCAATTATTGTACCAAGGCTAGATGAAGGTGAAGGACGAGAGGTATTTGGAAAGCTATCGGCAGCTGTTGGAGTTGTTGTCGTCGTCGTCGTTGCCGTTGTTGTTGTTGTTTCTGAAGGTTTCTTTACACTACCATTCACTGGTGTGACGGAACGATTGGCTGCGCTATCTACGCTCGTTCTTTCTATAACAGCTGCCCCTACACCTTGTGCTTGTGAAGGAACTCCTTCAGATTGCCTACCAGTTTCGGGAGAAATGGGAAAATCCCGACCATATGTAACGTACACCCGTGATCCTACTTCAATAACGGGTGAAAGAGCAATTTCTTTAAAGAAAACAGCATATACAGATTCTGATATTTGTGCAGTTATATGACCAATAGCAATAGGTTTATCTGTACTTGCAGTTTCTGAATTATCAAAGTAAGCAGCAACACTAAGACCCTGCAGACTCATTTGCGCCGTAGCATCTTGTGTGTTTACAATTGTTGCTGTTCCTATCGATGTCGGTATTGAATTTGTTGCATTTGTTGTAGAAGCTACTGAAGAAATTGCTTGACTGGCAGTTTTTCCAGCAGCTGCCGAGCCAATTGGCATCATGAATCGCACGCATTGCCGCATTACCTCTATAGGTCAGTCAGTCCTATTAATTCTTTGGGTGATTTATTCAATCACCACACTGTATACTAGTAAGGGGAGAAATGCGACACCAGTGAGAAAGGAAATGTGCCAGATACACCCAGTAATCTCCACCCTGAGCTATCTAACTCACGTTCCTTTCTGTTTCTTCCTCTTCACACTTACCCTCCGTATCTCCCAAGAGGCAAGAACTGAAAAGAAAGAAACCCCTCCTCTCAAGTTTGCAATACCATAAAGTAGATCAAGCAAAAGAATAAGAGGAAACAAAAGGAGAAAAGAGAAAAGAGAGAGAGCCAATTCTATACAGATACTAAGGAGAGAAGGAGGAGTGAGGAGTGAGGAGTGAGAAGGGAGGAGAAGCAAACAAATAAAAGAAGAAGCAGAGCCTCATAAAGTGCTTTACAATATTCTTTTTCTCCTTTACAAAAGATACGCATATTTTTTTTTTTTCTTTTCCTTTTTTTTTTTTCTGTCCTTGTTTTTCTCCCTTTCTCTAAAACTGTCTCTCTCCTGGAAAGAAAACACCCGTTTCTTTACCCTCCTCTAAGTAGACACGTCTTTCAAAAGCCTTCACAGAATACCAATTTTGCTGCGCCGCTACATTAGATTTACGTCACGACGACGTCGTTTGGGAGGACGATGATTAACATTCTTATCACCTTGACGAGGATAATGTGGGCGTTGATGTTGATGTTGATGTTGGTACATCTCCCTTCTGTTTCCTGTCGTACTTGTTACTAATTGGCGTACCTGAGGTCTTGAAGTTACATCAAGACGAAGCATTCGTTCCCTCTCTTTCGTCCATGATAGAGCAACGCCACGGGCTCCTGAAGCCAGTCCTTCTGCAATCATTTTCAAATGAAGCCTTTCTTTTTCTTCTTTTTCTTTTTCATTTTCCACCTCTTCTTGACGTTGTTGCTCTGTTTGAATAAGACATTTCTTTTTGCAAATTGAACACAGATGAGCCATTGTTTGTGCTACCCGCAACGCCGAAAGGGCCGACTGCCGTCGTGCCTCCAAAGATTGTTTAAACTGTTCCTGATCTTCTTCAGCTACTACTTCAGTGTTTGTTTTACCGTTAGACTTCTGTTGCCGCTGCTCATGAAGAAGAGGAATGGCTGACTGGATCTTTAGTACCGCATTATCCATAACAGGGAGAAGTATCTCCGAAACACGGATAATATCCTGTAGTAGAGATCGCATTCCCTCATCTGATGCAGGTACACAAGGTAAAGAGCGCAAAAGAATATGGAACACACATTCCACAAGAGGTAGAGGAGCATCCAATGCAGCATCTGCAGAGTCAATAATTAATAAAGAAGCCGCTAAACTCCTTATTTCAGGAGTATTCACACTGTCAGGTGTTACAGATGCGAAATCGGTGAGTTGAACAATAGAACGAAGTACAGATAATGGCAGAACTGATTCTTCTAAGTTTATTGTTAAATGAGAATGTTGTTGTTGCTCCCCTTGATGTGAATAAACGAGGTTAACTACTTCGGTGGCCCTCATCAAAAGAAAAGCTAAAGAGAGTCGAGTTTTGATGATGCTACGATGCGCCGCATCCACATCTTCCAATGCCCGAAGATCTGCCTGGAAGGCGTTAAGGTCATCCATACTTTTCAATCGTTCCCGTGAAATTAGTGAATCACAACAATGTTTACACTTTGCCGCACCATAACCTGGAAAGTATTCCTTAAGTTTTTTTTCAACTTCTGCTGCACAAGAGGCCTGTGATGAAGCGGATTGGCTACAAAGCCAATCCTCAAATTCTTTTTTCAACTCTTCATTTGCAGATGGATTTGATAAAAGAGCTGTACATGTTGTTACTGATTGTGGAAGTTTGGCTATTAACTGCTGCACGATGGAGGCGGCATATTCCTGTGGAAGAGTGAGAAGTGCAGTGAGTGCCACACGTCTTTCCTGTGGATTAGGACGCTCTGTTGATTCATCCTGTGCGTCTTCTACACCGCATGACTCTGTGTTGGATGTGGACGATGGTGACACCACTGACCAATGTACCAGGAGTTCACAGAGTGCCTCACCATATTCCTTCTGCTGCGCTGTCGGCACATCGACAAGCATGGCTGGTAGTGTTTTCAAGACGAATGCGCGGTGTAGCCAAGGGACCTTGTGGCTCTCCAGCACTCCACGCAGTGCGTGTAAAATATCGTTCCATCTCTCTGGGAGATGCGGGGCGGCGGTGGCGAGGGCCTTCACAAGCGGCCGAAGTCCGTCGGCGAGTGGCGTGGGGTCGGCGAGGGCGGCGGTGAGGCGCGTGACGGCCTCGTGAAGCACCGGGGGGACCTCCTCGTCGGGGCGGTACTCATTCACCAGCTGAACACAGGCCTGGATATCCATATATATATATATATATATATATATAAATATAAATATATATATGGAGTGGGAGGAACTTCTTATATATATACATATATACACAATGTGAAAGTGGGAAAAAGAAAGAAAGGGAGAGAAAGAGAAAAAGAGAGTGTGTGTGTATGTGTATGTTTGTAGGAATAGTAGTATGTGTGGTTTATTTCAGATTGTACCCTGAGTGAGAAAACATGGCAAAATCGTGTTTGTTTACGTTGCAACCCAGTGGTATCAGGGTTCAAAAAAATATTATGCTGCGTGATAGTTAATACTTCAATCAACAACACTATTTTTCACATTCTTTTTTTTCTTTTTTTTTGCCTCCTGACGCTTCACATTATCGTTTCCTTTTTTTTTTTTTATTTGCCCCATTGGTCTTCTGTGAAGGGTGGAGGGTACAATTTTAATTACTCCTAGTAATACTCTTACCAAAGTTACTGTTGTTGTCGTCTCCTCACTGTGTTTTTCCTTTTTTTTTTTCTTTTTCATTCCTCNAAAAAAAAAAAAAAAAGCTGCTTCCTTTTTGCATTTTTGCATTACGTGCATTTCCAAGTTATTATATATATATATATAATATATGTGAATTTGTATTCCACACGTCATTTTAATTTTGAAAACAAAACAAAAACAAACAACGTGAAACCCTTCAACAAGCGTTTCTTGCCATTGCCATGAGAAAATGACTTGAAAACACCATTATAATTAGATAAAAATTCAGCTGGTGGACACCATCAAAACGGGTTTTCTCCACAAGCGTCATATAAAATTTAAAGGGTTTTACGGAATACAGACACACACTATTCCTCAACGTACGGGATAGGTCAATAGATACAGAAATAAAAAAAAAAAAGAAAAAGGAAAAAAAAAGAGCATATTCTTTCAACCCCGGAAAAGTCATATTATTGGGAATAAACTATTTTTCTTTTTCCTTATTTTTTATTTTTATTTTTGTCCTCTTTCCTTCTTCCTTCCGCGTACGTGCTTACCTGGGTCAGCTAATACAGATAATAGAACGATCCTTCACCTCCCACAGATCTGGTCGCTGTTTCATAATCTGCAGGGCTCCTCCCGAGACATCACGCACTTCAATGGAGACACCAGCCGCCTCAAACGCCCGGCGTAGAAGTGATGCCGCAATGAGAGAACGATATCCAGCAGCACAGTAGACAATAATTCTTTTAATACCCGCCGTCAATGACGGCCTGCAGAACTGCCTCAAAAATGCTTGACCCAGTTGAGGCGAGGGTCCATGGAATTCAACACTTTGAACTTCACATTTATTTATGTTGTGATCGCTTGATTGTATTTTTAAGCCATCTAGCGCGGTCATCTGACATAAGTCTGCCAAAGGAATGTGAACACTGTATTTATGTGAACCATTCTTAAATTCATAAGCTGTGCGACAATCAAGTACCACAGTGCCCTCCACAGGTTCAATGCATTGAAGATCTTGATACTTGTCAACTCGTGACAAGGCAGATGTTGTGGTACCAATAACCCATACAAGTTGCCGTGGTAAATAACGGGATGTAATAGACAATGGAAGATCTGTCACTATACTGCAGTAATGTGAATGAATTTCTGTACTACAAGCAGATTGTACCACTTCAGAGGAAGGTTGAAGTTCCTTTGCGACAAAAGCTTCAACAATCGCACCTGGAGATATTAACGCTAACCGTTGCTGAATAAGTGGAAGTTCTTGTTTGTTTGCACATATCACAACAACACTCTGGAAAGGGAGTAAAATACATTGGAGCCAAAGTTCTGCTTTTTTAACACCATAAGCATCAGCAGGAAATTTCATAGGAACGTTTACAGACCCCTTCAAATGCAACCTTTCATGCTCTAAAGTGTCCCTAATATCCAAAACAATGGGTGAACTACCACTACTGCTACTAGTCTTAATATTATTATTATTATTATTATTCCTATCATCATCATTAGTAGTAGTAGTAGTAGTAGATTTAGTAGTTATATCGACAGTTAAAGACTCCATAGGATCTAATGACTGAGACGCAAGAAACTTTGCTCCACTTCCACCGAATGCAGATGGATATGAAAGCATATTCCATTTTCGTACATGTGAAAAGAGTACAGGTTTAGGAAGTGATGGACGCCCATTTACATGTTTAATGTATGCATTGACATCCAATATATTATCCAATACTGTTCGGGAATGTTTCATTCTTTTCAAATCTCCCAGATGAGCTGCCCAGTAAAGATCTAACTGATGTGTCACATTATTATATCCACCATGAGAGGGAAATAGAATAACATGATCTAATGACTGTCGTCTACCACTACTAATCTCCTCTGGAACTTCAAAATATCTTTCCCAGAGACGTTGTTTAAGAAATCGTTGTGCTACTGCTGCTGCATCATTTGTAGTTAAACCATTTGGTGACAAAAATCCTGGAAAATCATTAAAGAAATCATTTCTCGGGAGAGCATCTACGCTTATTACAGTACCTGTAAAGAGTGCTAATAATACAGAATCCAAATGTAATTCAACTATCATACACTCTGGTGAAAAAGACGGAAGAGGAATTGCTCTTAAATGTAAACGTGGACTAAGAGTTAATGTTGGCCATTCATTTAAAGAATCTTCATTTTCTTGTGTCCATGGAGTACCACTTAAGAGTACAGCATCTGGATATGCTTTTAACAGAGCATTGTGTCCCACTGAAATATCTACAAAGCAATGTGTGAGAATAACACCAATTAGTCGAAGATTAAAGAGAGAAAGATCAGCTTCATATATTGAAATATCTAGTTGTGGATCAATCACAACTGCTGTTCGTTCCTTGATATCTGCTATAAGAAAGGATGCTGTACGTGTTGCCTCATGTATATAATGGCGAAGCAGAAAAGGGACGTTATCGGGTGATGGATCGGATTGAATATTATGCAGAAGGGCTAATGGAAGGAAATGATAGGCCATGAAGAACTCCAGTTTCTCAAGAGCTGACTTTCCATTTTTCTCATGTAGACGATGTACAATGGGTATTCGTTTTTCCGCTACAACCGCAGCACGTGGGGCAGTAATAAGTGGTTCTAATCTTACTTTCTTCATACTTCTCTCCTTCTCAATTTTACTGCCATCATCTTCTTCTGTTTCTTTTCCCAAGACACCGTTGCTATTGTCCTTCTCATCTGTGTGCACAAACAGTCTTGACTCCTCTACTGCTGGAACCATCAGTGTGGCCATAAATCGCATGATGAGGGCGTAGCGATTGTGAAATTGTCGCAGGCGGCGGGTGATCGCCTCGCAGGCGGAATCGTCGAGAGAACCCGCGACTTCCAACAAAACGGGTTTAAAACACGCGAGGGACCGCGGCTTCTGCACGTGGACTGACGCATCCCCGCCCGTCATCCCAGCATGCAGCCTACAATAAAGAGAAAGAAAGAAAAAAAAAAAAAGAGAGAGAGAGAGAGAGAAAAAAAAAAATGGGGTGGAACCCAGGAAACTTAATAAAGCATGTGAGTGATGGGTGTAGAAATAATAATAAAAACATACACATACACACACACACACACAAAGAAAGAAAGAAAAATAAAAATAGAAAAATAACTATGTCAACTTTAAAAGCAAGTTTCCTGTAACACTGGGCTAGTCAATCTACCAAATGATATAAATATATATATTTGTATGTATGAATGTATGAGAGAGGTAGAGAAAGAGTGAGAGAATAGCAGAAAATAAAGAAGAAGGTAATGAACATCACTTCAATATACCATCATGAAATTTCTTTTCGTTATTTGTTCGTTCGAATATCCCTCTAGTTATTATTACTCTTGTCAGTACTGTCTCTCTCTCTCTCTCTCTCTTTTTTTTTTTTTGAATGTTTTTCACTTTTTTTTTTTTTTTTGAATTCCATCTAAGTATGATAATTGCTCTATCATTTCCCTCAAATGCCATCGAATCCGCGGGTGGTCATTTGTGTTTTCGGTGTACACGACTCATCAACATCAATCCGTGCACGCCTAAGAACACCACCACCACTGGTACTATTATTATTATTATTATTATTATTATTATTATTATTATTATTATTATTATTACCAGTAGTATTTTGTTTTCCCCCTTCTATTCTTTGGCGTGCCATCTCAACTAATCGCGATGAGACTACAAGGGCTGCATGCATAAATCGCATATTCAAGAGTACCTCCTTCTTATTTTCCCGCTGTTCCTTTTCCTCTTCTTCTCCTTCTTCATCTTCTTCCTTATCATGATCACTGCTGTTCATCTCATTTCCCACTACCGCCGCCCACTTCGCCACCAGCTGTGGGGCCTGTAGTGGAAGTTGAAAGAAACAAAGCACATCATATGCTGTTGGTCGTGCAGTGGGTTCTTTGTTCATAAGAGCAGCGACGAGATTAATCAACGGCTTTGAGTAACCACGGCGTTCAAGCATCTCAACTGGTGGACTTGACCGTAATTCTAGAAAAGGTGCACCATGATGTGGAAGCGGTTCTCCAGACATAAGTTCAAAAAGTGATATACCAAAGGAAAACATATCACCTGCTTTAAGGTATTGTTTTTGGTTTAGCATATCAGAACAGAGATAGCGACAATCTCCTTCTTCTACACTTACAATACTCAGTTGTGTTGGTACACTCAAGACAGCCATATCCGTCACATAGTTTGATCTTTGACTGCTTGATGTAAAATTTCGTTGAGGTCTTCCATCTTCATTTAAAACAACACTACAACCAAAATCTGAAAGTTTGTAGCTTCCATTTTCGTCTATAAGCACATTATCAGGTTTAAAATCTACATGTGCAATATTGATACTATGTAGTCCATTCAATGCGAGTGCCATATGAGCAAGAAAAACATAAATCTCACGTTCATCCCATCGTTCACCTCTACGTCGCCGAAGTTCTGCCAAATCAGCGACAGAACCACCTTTACAGTATTCCAGTTGTAAATACATTTGTGGTGTACGTCCTTCTTCCCATGCTTCCATTAACTGCACAACATGAGGTAATCCACGAACAAGATTTAATATAAATCTTTCCCGTACAAATCGTTGCCGCTGTTCTTGATTAGTTAATGGAGGAGAGACTTTTACCGCCACCAAATTTCCTGTACTCGTTTCCTCATAGAGTGTAACCTTCCCAAAAGAACCACATCCAAGTTCTTTAACTTCACGATACTCTGTTAAAATACGTCGATTAAAGAAATTGGAGTACTCTGTATCTGCCTGTGAGTACTCCAGTCTCTCTGGTGAAGGATGAATAAAGGAATTGCTCTGCCCACGTCGCGGCATCCAATCCGCCTGTGGAGATTGAGGCTGCGATGGAAACAACGCAGAGGGCGAAGTGGCTGACGGTGGCCCCATAAGGCGATTTCCCCCCACACGACGTGACTGTTCCACACCGCGGTCCTGTGAAGGCAACAAAATAGAACTTCTGCTGTCATCCAGTTGCAGTGCACTGAACTGTGAGAGCTCAGTGGATGGTCGCTTTCTAGAGGCCACACTTTTGCGAGGATCTTTCTTACCACTCCAGGTGTGGCGGTGATGGTTGCTGATATGTGTAAATTGCATTTCATTACGGGCCTCATGTACGGTTCTTCGTTGCTTGGCTGGGGTTTCTGGTACTCTCTGCGGTGTCCATGCGGAGTGTTGTTGGTTTTGTTGTGCTGGGAGAGGTGTGCTGCCACCATCCCTGTTGGGAATACCGTTGCTGTCCTCTAATGGAGAGAAGGATGGGGCAAGAGTTCCCATTTTTTTCTTTTCTTTTCTTTTTTTGTTTTGTTTTGAAGTCTACAGATAAGATGGAAATTTCCTTGGTAACACCTTCTACTTTTTTATGTGAGTTGATGTCTAGAGAAAACTAAAGGAAAAAAAAAAAAGAAACAAAAGAAACAACAACAGTTTAAAGGAAAAATGAAAAAAAAAAAAGAAAGATATACAAGTAAATATCAGAATCATTGTAGTTTGAAACTCTAAAGAAGAAATGAGTTCATATCTCTTTCTTTCCGTATACTTTTGAAGTAGTGTAATATTGTATATATGTACCTTTCAAAGAGCTGGTATTAGCTGGTTTATCTGTGATGACTTCGTCCAACCCCCTTCAGATGTCTCGTGAAAGAAAAAAACAATTTCTTTTTTTTTTGTCTTTTTTTTTTGTCTTTTCGCCTACTTCTCATCATCCTCTTTTCTCACAATCTTTTCATTTCTCCGTCACTACAAAACACAAACAGACAACTGATGTACACGTAATTTGCAACAACGAAGAAGTACTAGTCAAGACTTCTCTGCCGCTGATATTTCCTCCAAGCATTCTTCCATCTGGAGCATGCGGGAAATTATAGTAATAATAATAATAAAAAAAAAAAAACAACGTTACAAAGGGCCAATGTGAAACTCATTTCATATACACAAACTTTTTCTCCCTTTTATTATTCATTCCACCCACTTCTCTCTTCTCTCCATATCCTTCTTTCATTTTTCCTCATAGAGAGAGAGAGAGAGAGATCCATGACAATAAAGCAGAACATACAGACACATCCACTCACCCCACTCCACTCCATATATTTTTTTTTTATACAGCTCTTCTAATGTTTCAGTTCCTTTCTTGCTTGCTGTGTCATCATCTCCATTCGTGCCTTTTCATACATGTCACGTTGATGTTGTTCATAAAGTTGACTGAATTGTGCGAATCCATTCTTAGCGAAGGCGGCATACAAGAGTGCGAACTCCTCTACACACGTCTGTTCCTCTGCATTGAGGTGAAAGTCACTCTCTGCTGTGCTCGACGGGGTAACACACTTGTGAAAGGCACGGTGTACAATCCTCTGGCGCGCACTGTGGTGTGCACGGTACTGTTCGCCCTTCACAGTGTCGCTGACGAGTCCTGCCGATGACCCTTGACCCATTCTTTCTCACTTTCTTTCTATATGGGTATTATACAACTATCGAATTTCTTTTTTTTTTCTTTTTTCTTCCTCTTTATGTGCCTGTCCGCCTGTTATTAATTAATTAATTATTTTTTTTTTCTTTAATGTGTTTCCTCCCCCTTATTCCCTTCTTTTTTTTTTTTTAGTTTTGTTCGCGTTATCGTTTTGTTATATTTACACAAAGAAAGAAAGAGAGACGTGAGAAAACAAAAATACATATAGAAAGTGAAAATGAGAAAAAGAATATGACACATATATTTTGAAAGAAGAAGGAAAAGGAAAAAAAAATGAGCAAACTCGAATGTATGGAAGCTGCAATGTGAAATAGCAGCACAAATTCACCACTAGACTATGGTGGTTTTCTTGATTTCCACAACATCATCAGCATCACAGAGACATACGAAAGTGTGAGATCATTTCATTTTCACTTTCACAAACAACAAACCCACACCTCCTCTTTCTTTCTCTTGCTTCCCTCTGATCACATTTTCTGTTTTCTTTTGATTCTTTTTTTTTTGTTTATTGCGTTAACCGGCCATACGTTCCATCTCTAGCAGTGCCTCATGCACTGATGTGGTATCGGAGGAATCGCAAGAGTGAATAGAAACAGTTGACCCTATTGGCAGACGAAGATACTCAGCGACGGTCGTTGTGGTAAACGTTACCTCCGCCCCACAGGAGCATGGTCGGCGTGCACACGCACAAGTTTGCCGTGAAGCAGCAGCAGCTGCTGCTCTGTTATTATTAGAAGTAGCAGAAGTGGTACCCATCCCAGAGTGCAGGGTATAGCACGTGGACCCACCAGAGAAGAAACTAAAAACTGTATTATTGTTAATACGCAACGTGACAGACGGTAATGTAGATGTGTTAACACCACGCATGCCAGCATGATTTTTTGCAGCAACACCTCTATTACGAATACTAATTATACACACAGTAACATGATAAATCCCATCCTGTAAAATCTCAATTATAGATGGAGATTGTGGACGCCATACGAAGGGAAATCTTGCTACATCGCAGAATATTTCTTCTTCTTGTCGAAGTATATGCTCTGGTGGCGCTGCGTCAACAGTTAACCATTCCCCTGTTAATGTATTGCGCACATTTAACGAACTCCAAGGAATAGGAACATCTGGTGATAGCATGGCGGCTGTGATATGACCTCCACGCCATTGCCATCGCGCCACACTGCAATCCACCCGTAGACGCGATGCAGAATGTACTTTTTTTATACCATTCTTCTTATATGGAGTTGTTACTGAACGTTGTCCCTCCAGATGTTGTTGTATAGGAGGCGGGGATAATGGTGATGATGATGACTGAGGCAGTGGGGCCATGGCATGAGAACGCATCATCTGTTTCCACTGATTTCGCAGCAACTTCACCTCCCGCACCATTTCCTTTAACATGACCCCATCACTCTTCCTGATGCCGACACTACCACCACCATCATCATTCTCTTCTTCCTCCTCCTTCTCTCTCTTGTTCTTCATCTTTGTGGCCTGCACACTTGCAGGAGAGGAAGAAGAAAGAGGTGGAGGTGATGGTGGTAGTGTCTGTTGTGTGGCGACGGCGTGTAGACTAGCAGTGAGTCCGTCCATCTCCTGCTGCATCTCTGCCAGCGCTGGGAGGAGGACGGTGGTGTGGAGCTGCTGGGTCTCACGCCTGTGGGCCTCGAGGGCGTCTTGGAGGCGATCGACGGCGTCGCGGTCGTGGCGGTAGCGGCGCTCCTTCAGCCGCGCGTCTTCGGCGACGAGGGCGACGGCGTGGCGGGTGTCGCTGACGGCGGCGTCGAGTTCGGCGACTCTCGCGGCGGCGGCGGCGGCGGCCCGGAGGAGAAGTCCGGCGGCGGACGTTACGACCGGCTGGACATTCCGCCACGAGCGGCCGGCCGCGAGATCCTGCAGGGCCGCCTTGCACTCCTCCCGCAGCCGCACCGACTCATCCATGCTGTTTATCGCATTCGTGTGGTGGATATAATTGTCGTTGTTGTTGTTGTTGTTGTTGTTGTGGGTCTTGTTGTTGTCATGGGGGTTGGGGTGGGTGGGGGGAGTTGTCATGATGTTTGTGCAATCCAGACCACCGTCACACACAGAGTGAGCCGTGAGTGTTGAGCGTCCGTACAGCAGAGGGAGGCGGAGGGGAAGGGGGAGAGGATCTATGTAGATTATGCTCTTTAATAAGAAAGAAGAAAGAGAGAGAGATGGGTTGTAGGGTAGGTGTATGTATGGAAAGTGAAATAACAAGAAATTTAACAGTGTGTTGTTCTGCAGTGTTGAGAAGGGGTATGCGGTATTGTAAAAGAGAGTGAGTGTGGAACTTGCAAGGCATCGCCTTCATCTTCATTTCCCTACAATAATAATAACAATAATAATAGTAATAATGGTCACGCATACTTTTTCTTTGCCTACAGTTTCAAGGTCTCACACATCTCCTTTCCACACGGCGAAGAAGTAACAAAAAAAAAAAAAGAATTGACGACAAGAGAGCAAAGAAGAAAACAAAATAGCTTTTTTTTAAAAAAGAAGAAAATGAATGAATGAATGAAAGAAAGAAAAAAAAAAGTAACCACTGATCTCAAAAACACAACAACAAGAACAACAACAACTTGTTCACTTGACTACACGCCTCCTTTTTATCCCTCCTATTATTACCATCATCATCACTATTACCCCCTAAATCATCATGTTGTTCCGTCATCCTATTTGTAGATGTCTTTTCTTTTCCATTTATTTATTCATTCACTCACTCACTCATACATTCCTTCTAATATATGTATGTATTCTCTATCTCACTTTCTTTTTTTCTCTTCTTTTTTTCTTTTTTCTTCATATATACGTACACGCCCATAATCACGACACTACAACTTGAAGGACCGTGCGATGGCTTCCGTGATGTGTGCCTGGTCGAGTTCCTCTGTCCACTCGGTGCACGTCTCGTCCAGCACGCGACGCAACTTCTGTTCAGCCCGTCGCTCCTGCACAAAGTGAATCACCGGCAGTTTGTTGTACACAAACGATGGCACCATGAGGTCCGTCCACACCATCGGCATCCAGAAGAAGAAGGCGTAGTACCACACAAATGTCCATGAGGCCAAATACCATGTGCTCATTGGCTCCAAGTGACGGCGTGCGACACTTACGGCGTTGTTCACATTACCACTGTTATTGTTTGTGGGCCTCGCCAAGCTGCCAGCACGTGCGCCAAGTCGTCGGAACATTCCTCCTGGAGTTTGTTGATGTTATTATGTTATTATAATTAAATATATAAATATATACTATATGTCTTTTCCCCTATGGCTTCTTTTTTTTTTTTTCTTTTCTCCTTGTCACCTTGCACTAAAACTCTTTTCCTCCCTAGCTAATCTTTAAAAAACAAAAAAAAAAAAAAAACAGGAGCCAGAAAAGAAAAGAAATCAATCCTTGACGACATACAAACTACTACTCCCCGTATTCTCAAACCTTGTATTTCTATTTCCTTGGACATGTAAGAAATCTTACACCTTGATCAGTATTTTCTTTCTACAGCACTTTTTTCTCTTTCTTTTCAGTTATTTCTATTCCTCCCGCTGTAATCCACCGTTTGTTGTGAGCACTTCGCATGAGTCTGCCGTGAAGGGCCGTACTGCATCGCGGAGAAAACACACCACATCACTCAACTCCACTTCTTGCCGCTCCACACGGGCACGCAACTCACGCAGATGCGACTCCATCACCGCACTTCGCGCAACTAGTTCTCGCAGCATTGCCGTGTTGTTGCTGCTGCTGCTGTTTTTATTCTCATGTGCATCCCCTATACGCCGTCGTGATCGTCCACGTCTTCTACCACTACCACTACCACTTCTTACTCCTACTGTTGGTGCTGTTGGTAGTGGTAGTGGTGGTGGTACGACGCGGCAACCTCGAGTGGCAGAAGGAGTCTCTCTCTTGCCATGATGATTAACTGCACGGCTCCCAGAGCGTTTTCTGCACTCTATTTTTCCTCCCATTGCAGAAACACAACGAGTAGGAGTCTCAATCGGAGTTCGACCACAAGTGTTACAACTGCGTGTCACTCCACGGATTCCCTCACAGGAGACTCTTCGACCACGTCGTTCATGTAATGAATAAGGAGATGATTTTCTATTATGTCTTCTATGATGTAGTAGTTCATATTCTTCTGTCCCTTCTGATGTATATACCTCCCCCTTCTCTTGTTGAGTATAAATATGATGCATCTGGGGTAATGTAGAACAATGACGCTTCTGATAGGTGAGCTCACTCGTAGCACACTCCTCACCAGACACAACTAAGGAGGGCATTAAAGTCTTCTGAGACAGACTCGTGCCCTCGTTAACGTGTTCACTGCGTACTGGAGAAACAGCAGAAGCCGTGGCATCAACAACACCAGTCGATTGTGTTGTTGTTGGTATTGTTGTTGTTGTTGGTATTGTTACTGTCACACCCGGATGTGATGGAATAGGACTTCCCCCGAGAGATGTCTCTCTTGTGGACATCGTCCCACCACTGCAACGTTGTGCTGTGTCGTCCGATACACGTGTTCCTCCTCCTCCTCCTCCAACCAACGCTCCTAGCGAAGAAAACCTACTTTGCAGAAACTCTGTCAAAGAATGGGGACGTGTTGAGGTTGTATCTTCAGCAGAATTCGACTGAAATGGCGGACTGCCACTACTCTCACTCCGCATACCCCGCATTATCCCCTCTTCTTCTTTTGTTCGCAGGGTTTGTCGAGATGATGTCTCCGCAGCAGAGGATGAACTCATGCCACACAACTCACTTGAAATAGCAGGACGATAATAAGAGGGAAGATCAGATGTTGCTGCAGCGCCACCGTCACCAAGGCCTCCTGGTGTGAATTGTCCATTTGAGACGGACGGAGTGCACCCAGCACAGTTTTTCATCAATACTATGTTTTGACAACCTTGTTTGTTGTTGTTACTGTTGTTGCTGTTGCCAATACAACATGTGTTCGAAGTTAATACCATCTCTGGGCTCATTTGCACATCCTGTAACTGCTGTCGTAAGGACTCAATCAAGATATCACGTTCCACAAGACGCTGCGTAAGCTCATGTTGTGCAACTATCCAGTTATTTCTTTCGTCTTCACATCGTGCGGACACCGCAGTGCTGTATGCATCCAAACGTTGAATTTCCGATAAAAGTTTTCTCGCAAGATTCCTGTAGGCTTCTTTTATCTCCTGCCGGCTTGGTGCTGATAACACAGTACTGTTCCCTGATGAAGTTTCTGTTGGGGCATTCGGTGACAAGGTCGAACCATCTGTCAACACACCAGGTCTCACCGAGGGGTCTTGCAGTAAATCCCCTTCTCTATCTTGCATAAGAGTTCTTCTAATAGTAGTAGTACTAGCAGCTGCAACAGCAGAAGCAGCACTAGGAGCAGTAGGACGATGAACAGAAGCACCCGCGCCGTTTGAACGTGTCATTTGTGGAGAAACTGCACCACTCGTGGTTTCAGTGCACGGCAACGCTGTTGTGTTACCGCTAGGGGGTGCTGCTGATATATCATCTTCCGCCATGCGGTCGCCAAAAGGCGACAACACGGCCCCCCGCACCACACGCAATCCAGTGTCATCATCATCATCATCATCCGCTGTTACAGAGATTGCGGAGATGTTGACATCTGACGCGAACACCGCATCACCGCTCGCACCAACACGCGGGCCCCATTTCTTCCGTATTTGCGATGCACTACTGTTGTTACTATTGTTATTGTTACTGTTGCTGCTGCTGCTGGCATCTTGCCTGTGCGTGAGTCGGCGGATAGTCCCTATCAGGGACTCAATGTCGTCCCGCAGCGACATAGAGAGCAAGAGAATTATACAGACAACGCCAACAAACGCTAAAGAGAGACAACAAACGTCAGGCCAAATGAAAAGAAGAAATAAATACATAAAAGAAACGTATAAAAACAACCAGGATGTAGAGGCACAGAGTAAAGAAAAGAATGACTAACCATCTTTTTCATTTCTTACTACTAAAACATCTCAAAAAAAAAAAAAAACGCTCCCTACTCATTCCCCCACTACTGCTACTGCTGCTGTTTTTACTATTAGCAGGACTACAACCTCTTCTCTGGTTCTATAATAATAATAATAATAATAATAATAATAATAATAATAATAATAATAAGGGAAAGTACAATCAAATAAAAATACCAACAACAAAAAATAATAATACTGATTCAGGCCCCACATTAAAATATAAAACACATATCGACACAAACCAAGGAGAAAAAAAACAGTTTCCAAGAGAAAATAAAGTAAAAATGAAAAAAATCCCACGCTACAGTGATTATGCATACACGTACAAACAGTAAAAACCCGTCAGGTCCAAAACTATATATATATATATATATATATATATATATATACGTACGCCACCTGCACAAAACCCTACATTAGAAGAATAGTATATACCTTGCGTTTTCCCCAAAAGAAGGATGAGAAATAATAAAATAAAAAAAGACCTTCCCCCGGCCTACGGAAATGCCACATTGGACCTTTCTCTAACAGCAACCGTACGGATGATTCCAAGATAAGCCCTCGTTATCCAAAACCATTAATACTGGCGAAGAGGAAGAACTGAAATGTCCTTTTCATCTGCCCCTCCCCATGCTCGCCATCACAAGCATTACCACCCCTTTATCAAATCTACATTTTTGGTGTCTTGCTCACTCACACAGCGCCTGCCACCAAACTGGGGGAAGTCAGCAATTTCTCCAGAGCGGAAACAGGGTATTGCTGGCTAACAGTTGCACGAATCTCCCGGATCCGAAGTCCTGCACTTTCCCTTGCGGCATGAAGCATGCGCAATTCAGTTCGCAGTTGCATTCCCAATCGGGCGCGTCCTGTGAATACCCCCTCGCTTAGGACATATGCCCGAGACTCAAAACATGCCCACATCTCATTGTAGGCTGGGTTTAGTTTGGCTGGTGTAGAATAAAAACGGACCGAAGGCAGACCAAAAGACATCCTCTTGTAGTGTTTGGAAGGGATCCCAAAGCCTCATTAAAGGTGTGAATGGTTTCCCCGTGGCAAACCATGCATTCTCCCGCTCCTTTCTTTCCTGTTGAGACCCTATACTACACGAATATCCCACCCACATGTCCCCAGGAGGATCTTCTTCTGGACTCCCATTTTAGCCTTTTTGCCACATCAATTTATTCTACTCCCCCACGGTATTGGCTGTGTTTCGACCTTCACTGACAGATGTGGGGTGCAAGGGTGTCATTTCCATGGTCCTGTGCCGTTGTACGGTTCTGCAGGACACTTTGTTGGTGGTTTTCTGTTTTCAGAATTTCATGTCTCTTATTTTCACGCTGTATCAGCAATTCACAAGCCTTTCGAGTTCAAATTATGTTTCCACTTGCAGTTCTGTTGCATTTTCATTCCATTTGCCCCTTGCATCTCCTGAAATGATACATTTGTGTTCTGCTCTGCTAGGAAACTCACCTCCTTTAAATTACGCTGATGGTGGTTGTGCAATATCAATTCTTGCCCTTCGGGGGCCGTCCATTCAGCATCAAAGCTGAACACACTTCTTCAAAGACACACACACACTCACGGATACGTACAGAAAGAGATAGAGAAAACCCGGTGTTCCATGGCATGGTAAATTCGACTATTAAGTAACGCAATGCAGCCCAATTCCTAACCTTACCCCTGCTCTCTGCTTCATTCGCACAATCACTGTATAATTTTCAAACAAAAGAATTTCACCACCATGATGGGTTCGATGCGGAGTGGTCACAAGGGGGAACTCGAGATAGAAAGCTGTGGGACCATGATGCTGCACAAACTTTGCCAAGATGCATGCACTAAGCGTTCATTCCACCTTCCTGTAAGTATGCTGTATCGACAGCATGTATCTAATTCACTATTAATTTAGTTTCAAAACTTCCACTTCAAAATGACTCATACCAAGACAAATGCAAAGAAAGAAAAGGTTATGTAACTTTCATCACAAAGAAACCTAAAGTGTGACCATTCCTTTCCCAAGCTCTCATAAAAATCATCATCAAAATAGTCTCCGGCCCAGAAAAGCACATATACCCCCATAGAGATATATATACAACAATCAATATAAATAAATAGAGTGCA